AATTTTAATTACACATGTGATTTTATATATATAATATCATTCATTTTATTTAGGTGAATTAGATTGCAACTACTTCTCCAAATTCAACTATAAATTTGTTGTTCTAAATAATTAAATTTTGATTAATTTCTTATTTGCATTTAAATTGGTTGTTATCTTAGATAGTAAGATTATGTGTAATTTAATATATATATATATAATTAAAAATTAAATATCAAAATAAAATAACGAAAGTTTATTAATTCAATATTACATAAATGAATATAATAATATATGAAATTTATTTTAAAATACTAAACATAAGAATTATATTTGCTTGGGTATTTTTATTATTTCTTTTTTTGGAATATTATTATGTCTATGTTAATTTTAAAAATATAAACAAAAATAAATTAAAACCAGAGTAAATATTAAGCAAAAAACAAAGATACTTTTATCTGATTAAAAGTGTTTAGAGTTATGCTAGTTAAAAACGTTTTTAATTATTTGATCAAATAAGGTTTATAGTAAAGAAGTACTTTTTAGTTTCATTTTATAATATATATTATATGGCTTAAAATCCTTGTTTTAAAAGAAATACTATTTTATTTGTTTTAAAATATTTTTTGATCCGAGGTTATTGGTAGCTCCCCCAATGTTTCATGTGATAGATTTCCCTCAAAATGAAGGTATAACTACTCTCTACGTAACATTGAGTTCCACAGTGTTTCATATATGTAGAATATCTATGTACAGTCTCCTCTGTTTGGTAAATGATATGATCCAAACTCATTTAGCTGTCAATTTATTTTCACAGGAAGAGCAATTTTATGAGATTGATGTCCCGTTGAAGTTCACAGCGTCTGTGTGTGGCAGAGTGCATGGGCTTGCATGCTGGTTCGACGTTCTCTTTGACGGCAGATATCAAGCCATTGCAACTTATATGTACTTACCATCTGCTGTTATATAAATTATAACCTGATATCATCTCTATATATCCAAACAGCACGGTGCAAAGATGGTTCACCACTGCACCTGGTGCACCAACAACCCATTGGTACCAAATATGATGTGTGCTCACGCAGCCTATTCATGTCATGGTAGGGCAGGAGCTCACTGGTAGACTTCATTTGGTTGCCCACAGTGCTCAGAGTTACACAATAAATTTAACTCTCTCAGGTCAATTTTGCTTTCTTGCTTGCATCTCTCCTTTTGAATCATATCAGCTTCTTTCTCACTTTGTTTCACATTGGCTTTTTTAAAACAGCTAAAATGTGGGGGCCTGGTGCCAATCAAGGTGGAATCCTCCAGACATCATCATGCAAACTCGAATCCCATGTCTTTCCATTGTTCTGTTACTAATATTTTGTTTTCGATTTTAAATAATTTTATAATTTATATATAATTTATCTAAAATAAGAATATGTAATTTTAATTACACATGTGATTTTATATATATAATATCATTCATTTTATTTAGGTGAATTAGATTGCAACTACTTCTCCAAATTCAACTATAAATTTGTTGTTCTAAATAATTAAATTTTGATTAATTTCTTATTTGCATTTAAATTGGTTGTTATCTTAGATAGTAAGATTATGTGTAATTTAATATATATATATATANAATTTTAATTACACATGTGATTTTATATATATAATATCATTCATTTTATTTAGGTGAATTAGATTGCAACTACTTCTCCAAATTCAACTATAAATTTGTTGTTCTAAATAATTAAATTTTGATTAATTTCTTATTTGCATTTAAATTGGTTGTTATCTTAGATAGTAAGATTATGTGTAATTTAATATATATATATATATAATTAAAAATTAAATATCAAAATAAATACGAAAGTTTATTAATTCAATATTACATTAATGAATATAATAATATGTGAAAATTATTTTAAAATACTAAACATAAGCATTATATTTGCTTGGGTATTTTTATTATTTCTTTTTTGGAATATTATTATGTGTATGTTAATTTTAAAAATATAAACAAAAAATAAATTAAAACCAGAGTAAATATTAAGCAAAAAACAAAGATACTTTTATCTGATTAAAATTATTTAGAGTTATGCTAGTTAAAAGCGTTTTTAATTATTTGATCAAATAAGGTTTATAGTAAAGAAGTACTTTTTAGTTTCATTTTATAATATATATTATCTGGCTTAAAATCCTTGTTTTAAAAGAAATACTATTTTTTTTTTGTTTTAAAAAATGATGTTATACAAGTAAAATATTTTTACAACTTTACAGAAGTGTAGATTATTTAAAATTAATATGAAAAAATGAATAAACTATCTCAATAATAGTAATTATAAAATATTTTAGTCAACTAAAGATAACTTGTTTTATTATTTATTTCTTTTTGTAATCATCTAAGAAAATATATAGATACAATGAATGCTGCTTAGGATAAAGTTAAGGGAAATTATTTATTTTTTTACTATCAAAATTATGTTTGTAAATTTGTATTTTTATGAAGTTAAAATATATACATATTTAATCTATTTTAAAAAATTTAAATGCTTCTTTTATTATATATATATATATATATATATATATATATGCTATTCGAAAAAGTTAATAACTAAACTATAATTTAATTGACAGGAATGGCTAAATAAACAAATTAATAAGGGCAATTAAATATACTATTTTTAATTCATTAAATTTAACTATGTAATTAATCATTATAAGAATTAACCTGGGAAGAAACAGACTTTTTAAATAGTATTATAGAGATTAGTATAGTAAATTTCAATGTTTTTCTTTTTTAATGTTGAGTGTTTGTTTTGTTAATTTCCTGATATGATTGATCAAATGAATGATCTAAAATTATTTTGTTTTATGTCAGACATGATGAACTAATTAAGCCAATGGTGAGAAATAAGAAACCAGAATTAATACATGTAAAATATGGCCCAGTGAAAATGAAGAATTATCACTTTCTATCGATGATAACCTCCAATTTTATTTCGCATATTGGGAACGGAAAAATTCTAGTACTAATTAACTTCCTCGTAATAATAATATAAAATGCTAACTTGACGTGAAAAGATAATACAAAAAGAAACAAACGTGGACGTAGCAACGAGCTATGATAGAGGATTTAACTTAGGCCACCCATCATCAACCACTTCTCATCTGAATCATTTCCCAAACCAGTTCACAGTTTTGGTCAATAACACAATCTAAAACCCTATTTCTCTATTTAAACACCTCCCAAAGAGATTCGACCTTTGAAATTCCCAAAAACAGACCCTACTTAAAGTGTAAGAAAAGTAATACACATACACACAACACACGAGAATCAAGAATCACTTAACATCTTTCTGCTCACCAAATCAAAACCCTATTTTCTCCTGAGAGACCCACAAGAAACTCATGCAATATTCTTCACCCACTAGCTCCATTGCTTATTAACCTCTCTTCATTCCTCTCCTCTCTATTCTTCATCTCTCTTCTCACAATGAGTACCAATTCTTCTTATTATCTCACCTTCAATGACGCTTTCTCCTCCCATGAGCCTCTTGTTCCACGTAAGCCCTTTCTCCTCAAAAACATTCAAGTTCTTGAGCTTTTTCTTGCCCTTTTCGCCTTTATCGCTATACATTCCTTGCGTCAGAAGAAACACTACGGTCTTCCTGTATGGCCCTTTCTAGGCATGCTTCCTTCTCTAGCTTTTGGCCTCAGAGGAAACATCTACGAGTGGCTAACAAATATCCTCTCTCGTCAAAACGGGACTTTCCGTTTCAGAGGCCCTTGGTTAAGCAGCCTAAACAGCACTATTACTTGCGACCCAAGAAACGTTGAGCATCTCCTCAAGAACCGTTTCTCTGTCTACCCTAAAGGCTCATACTTCCGAGACAATCTTAGAGACCTTCTAGGAGATGGAATATTCAACGCTGATGACGAGACTTGGCAGAGACAAAGAAAAACCGCAAGCATCGAGTTTCATTCAGCTAAGTTCAGAAACCTAATGACTCACTCCTTGTATGAGCTTGTTCACAAGAGGCTCTTACTAGTTCTTGAAGCTTCGGTTAAAACCTCTTCTCCTATTGATCTACAAGACGTGTTGTTGAGGCTAACGTTTGATAACGTATGCATGATTGCCTTTGGAGTTGATCCAGGATGTTTAGGTCTAGACCAACCAGTGATACCCTTTGCTAAAGCCTTTGAGGATGCCACAGAAGCTGCAGTTTGTAGATTTGTTATGCCTACTTTCGTGTGGAAGCTCATGAAGTGGCTTAACCTAGGAACAGAGAAGATGCTAAAGGAGTCAATAAAAGGTGTGGATGATTTTGCTGATGAAGTTATCAGGACGAGGAAGAAAGAGCTCTCTCTTGAGGGTGAATCCACAAAGAGATCTGATCTCTTAACGGTTTNACAGAAGCTGCAGTTTGTAGATTTGTTATGCCTACTTTCGTGTGGAAGCTCATGAAGTGGCTTAACCTAGGAACAGAGAAGATGCTAAAGGAGTCAATAAAAGGTGTGGATGATTTTGCTGATGAAGTTATCAGGACGAGGAAGAAAGAGCTCTCTCTTGAGGGTGAATCCACAAAGAGATCTGATCTCTTAACGGTTTTTATGGGTTTGAGAGATGAGAAGGGAGGTAGCTTTTCAGACAAGTTTCTTCGTGATATATGTGTGAACTTTATACTTGCTGGGAGAGATACTTCTTCTGTTGCTTTGAGCTGGTTCTTCTGGTTACTAGAGAAGAACCCTGAGGTGGAAGAGAAGATTATGGTGGAGATGTGTAAGATTTTGAGGCAGAGAGATGATAATGGCAATGGAGGAAAGATTGATTATGAGCCTGTGTTCAGACCAGAAGAGATTAAGAAGATGGATTATCTACAAGCTGCTTTGTCTGAAGCTCTTAGATTATACCCTTCAGTTCCTGTTGATCACAAAGAGGTACTAATTTCTTACTAAATCTGATATTTTTTCCTTCCTGATTTCTATTAATTGCTTACCAAGATAGAGCCAATTGTTTAAAATTGCAAACATATACTTTCTCTGTATTTAAAAGATTAATATTTTAAAGTTTTCACACATATGATTATTAACAATAATTACAAAATAATTTCATCTATTATTTTTAGTTTAGTTTTAATATTTTAAGTTTTATTTGATTTTAAATAGTTTATCATTCATGTTTTTACACTTTAATTTTATTTTACTTGTAAAACAAATGAATTAATTAAAAATTTGAAATATCAATCTCTCAAATACAAAAAATCATTTTTAAATACGGAGTGAGTATGAAATTAAGAAAAAAAGAACAATTGCTTGATAAATTACTGTTTCTTTTAGTCCTTGATAATATTGATAATATTAGGTCTTATTCACTTATAAAGCCACTGGATGACCAGATATGGTTATTATGAAAATTATTGGGAAGACAACTAATTAATATGCAGGTATCATAAAATCATTTATTCATAGAAGAAATGAATAACTACATGTTTGACTTCTTGGTTACACACAAGAATGTTATGTTCTGCTGTTTCCCCATGAAACCTAACCACCAACTTATCCTTATTAAATTTCAATGATGTTAAACCTATCACCTCGTGCGTGTAGCGTTACTGTAGAGTTGTTGACATTTATTATCTATTATTCAGGTCCAAGAAGATGATGTATTTCCGGATGGAACAGTATTGAAGAAAGGAGAAAAAGTTATTTACGCGATTTATGCAATGGGTCGTATGGAAGCTATTTGGGGAAAAGACTGTCGTGAGTTTAGGCCAGAGAGGTGGTTAAGAGATGGACGGTTTATGAGTGAGTCTGCATATAAATTCACGGCCTTTAATGGCGGTCCACGCCTTTGTCTAGGCAAAGATTTTGCGTATTATCAGATGAAATCTGTCGCGGCTGCTATAGTTTACAGGTACAAGGTGATGGTTGTGGAGGGTCACAAAGTGGAACCGAAGCTAGCTCTTACAATGTATATGAAGCATGGCTTGATGGTGAATTTGATCAACAGGAGTGTATCCGAGATAGATCAATACTATGCCAAGACTATGTGATGGTAGTAGTGTTTAATGTTTAAGGTTTGTTAATTAGTTAAGATGGTGATCATAAGAAGATTGTTAACTTATTTTTGGATCATTTGAATTTTTAAATTATGTTTCTTTGTTTTTTTTTTTTTTTTTAATTTGGTCTTCGATGATGTGTATAGTCTATTTGGGTTTTAGCGTTTGTGGAAATGAGGAAGAAGGTTGTTATGTTTGGTTATATGTAGACCATTTTATTGTTAGGAAATGTAGTTGGTGGGGGCTTGTAATATCATAATAATTTTATACTCCTTTGTTCCTAAAAGATCATAATTCTAGTTTTTTTACATTTTTAATAAAACATAATAAATTTGCATAATTTTTTGTATTTATCTTTTTTTATAATTTTAAACCAATAAAAAAATCAATTAGTGTCATTAAGTTTTTTGAAGTTTACAGTTAGTTAATAAAATATGCATTGAAAATGTAAAAAATGGATCTTTTAGAAACAATTTTTTTTCTATAATATGTATCTTTAAAGAATGGAGGGAATAATTACTACTATAAATTTGTATCTATTTTTATGCGTACACGAATATGTTTAGCATTAGGTATAACGACATATTATAATCAATTTAAAAATTAACAAGCTGTTCTTTGTATTTGTAAAACAAAATCGGAAAGAAGTAAAGCTTTCTGTTGAAAAAACTATCCAATTTTACTCTGAAGATAAAATGATAATGAATATAGCTTTTACATATTGGTAGACTTACACACATATCAGTGAACGTTAGCGTTACTTTGTTGGACGTTCATACAAAGTCCAAATATGTATCCACATTTCTTCCAATTTCCTATTTGGAACTTCGTTCATCTCGGCAATAGTCTCTCGATTTTATAATGTATTTTACAAGTTTCAAATTTGGAGCATAAGAGATAACATAATACAATATAACCTTTTTAAATTAATAATCTATAAATTAATATACACTAAAAATCTCTAAAAAATAATAGAATTTGATAATTCTAAATTAAATTTTTGATTCAATTAATATATTGATAAATTAATAATTTTTATAAATTAATAAAATATTATAGTTTTGATATAATTTAATATTATTAATTTATAGAAGTTTCACTGTATATTAATGTATTACTAGTGTCTAAACCACAAGACAACAAAAGTCAGGGTCGGCTTACAAGGGGGAACAAACGGTGCGATCGCCCCGGGTCGAAACCCGTGTCCCCTCGATTTTACTAATTAAGGGGTCCAATATTTTTTATATATACATATTTTTATATAGAAAATTTTAAATATATATTTATAAATTTTAGTTACATAGGGGCCCTAAATATTTTACATATACATAATTTATTTTCATAACAAATATTTTAAAGATATTGATGTTAAAAATTTAAAAAATATTTAATTTTTGTTAATAAATATAAACATTAAAAGTTAAAAAAAAATTTTGCCCGGGACCCAAACAAATATTGAGCCGGCCATGACAAAAGTTAAAGTGTTTTTTACAATAACAATTTGGACTACAATTTCTACTTAGAAGGTTGTTTTCTTTAAACGCAGAATAGAATCAGCTACCAAGGTAACCTAACTTCTTACGGCATTTCAGAAAAATTATAACCTAAAGTTTTCATCCTGGAATAAAAATGCACGGGTTTAGGTTCCAGATAAAAAAAGAGGCATAAAAGTTAGCGAAACAGTGAGTTTATGTAGAATTGGCTGAATCAGTGCTAGGCTGTCTAGAAATTCATCAAAGAAAACTCAATATGAAACATGGAGTAACACTAAAAGAAAGAAAATAAGACAGCATGAGAAACTCTGGCGATGTAGAAACGTGGACACGACCATAAGACCATCCACATCGGTGGATTTAATGAATCCTTAACACTAAAACCTATGCAATTTTCACTAAAATATTAATAAAAAATTTGTAAACACGAAGGATCAATCCTTTGTTAAGGATTTTTTTGAATTGATCCTTAGTGACGTGGCATGAGTTTTGGAAGAAGGTTTCGTCTTCTCCGTTATCGTGGTGCTTCTTCGAGAGACTCGATTATCTAATCGGTCCCGTCGTGTTGAAGAAATCCACCGGCGCCGTTAAATCGCCGTTAAAGATCCAAACTTTGAATCCGACCGGATCTGTTTCAAGTGGAAGCTCTCTTGACGATGATGATGATGATGACGTGGGTGGTGATTGGGGGTTTGAGATGAGGAAGCAACGGATAGTTGAAGATGTGGATCGGATTGAAGGTGAAGGATCGTCGTGTAGGGAGCTAGCGAGAGCGATTCTGAAGTTAGGTGAAGTGTACGAGAGGATCGAGAGTGCGAAGCAGGAGATGATGATTGAGTTGGAGAAGCAGAGTATGGAAGTTTCAAAGGAGCTTGAGTTACAACGGATGAACATATTGATGGATATGCAGATGGAGCTTGAGAAGTCTAAGCTTAGGAAACGTAAAGCTGCTTCAGGTTTTTCAAAAATATATAATCTTTATTTGTCTCTCTGTTTAAGAAGCTGTGAATATATATGGTAAAGTTTTCATTTTTATGTGATGTTAAAGATTGAAGCTTTATGTTAGCTTCTGAGCTTTCAGATTATTGATTTGGAACCATTTATTTAGGGTATCTACTCTTGATTTTGTTTCTTAAGGTTATATTATTTATCCATCATGTGATTATAAGTTTACTGAAAACATGATTGTTGTTGTGTACAGGTAAGAAGTTGTAGTATTAGATTGTGGAGAAGCAAGAAGCAATGGTTGGATCTGAGAGAGCTGTTATTATTCTTAATGCTTATGTGACTTTGCACCAATCTGGAATCTCCAGGATAAGACTCTTGTGACCTTGATGGACACGAGTTGACACATGAGAGTGTATTATTGGAGCCTCAAAAGGAAAATCTCAGGAGCCTACCTATCAATGTTTCATGTTTGGTAGAATTGGGTGCTGACACTAGCATGTGCTTTCCTCTTTAGACCTGACTTACAATGAAGCTCTGCATCTTACAATGAAGCAAGTGCAAATACAGAGGATAAATAGATAAAGAAGCCTATACAAAAGGAGGCGGTGCAATATCATACAAGTAAGCATCAAGATCAAACCCATCAAGCAACATCAAGTCACTATAAGGTACAAGATCAAGTCGCGATAGAGCACTATGTAGTGAAAGAAGATTTGTGTTGTTTCTCAACTTTGTGGGAGTCTGATGTGTCTGCTTTTGTATCTGAACTCACAGATCAACTCACCCCACCATCCATGGATTCATCTTCTTCATCTCTTACCCGTCAAGGTAATCTCATATATTTGATCCATTTGCTTATAATTCTATATCACTTACTATACATATAGCTGTGTGATGCTCTTTTTCAACTTAATAATTATGTGATTAATAATTGTTGTATTTTCATATTTAATTATATTTTCATATTTAATCATTCCATAAATAAAATAAAATTTTTATATTTTTGAAAATTAAATATTATTTTATTCCTAAGGATTCTGGAATGAAAAACACCATTGGATATGCAAATTAGATTAGGGTCCTTAACTATTCAAAAAAATTAAAAAAATAATTTAATATACTTAAGGATTCATTTTGGGAGTACACCAATGTGGGTGCTCTAACCAATCTGTAAAGATATCGTCAAACTTTAGGATTTATTTTCAGTTATTAATAGTTTAGTCATAGAATATATTGGCTGTAACTGGATGTTAATTAGAGGAATAAATAGAATTAAAGGAATGATAATTAATGGAATCTAATGGAATAAAATTGTTATTCCATTCATTCCAGAGCTACTTTAACGTAGAATGATTTTTCAAATATGTGTTGTTATTTCTTTTTGGAATGACAAGGAATAAAATGGAATGAGATGGAATTGTCTTTCCATTTTTTTAATTTAACTGGTGAAGATTTTGTGGAATGAAAAGGAATTGATATTCCGGAAGTTTTTATTCCAAAAAAATACATTCCAATTGCAGCCATTATGTTTTGTTAAGTTAGAATATATAATGATATGAATTTAATTTGAATATCAAATTAATATATTTTAATTATTAATTTTGTGAAGCAAAATAAGTTATATTACAGCCTACAAACACGTATGGTCATAACAAGATACACAGTCTATTCAACTCCTATAAGGCACGACCTTAATACTTGGAAACATGTTAAATAACTATAAATTCATCGCAATCGAAAGCGTGCGAACACAAACACAAACACAAACTGTTTTAATTTCTCAAGCCTTGGATACAGATTCAATGGGCAAACCGGAGAGGAAAGTCAGAGAGAAAACATGCTCTTCGCCCTCTTATCTTCTTCGCTGTTTTGGTATTTCTTGGAAGATACACTCACACAAACAAACGCTAGAGGATGGTCACGAGAACAAGAAGAAAACGAGGAGTCGTTGGTTTTCTCGAGCGAAAGCATTCCGTGTGAAAAAAACCTGCGAGATCACAACCACGACGATTGGTGAGACGAAGAAACATAACTTGATTACTGAAGATGATAAGCAAAACCTGTTTCGGGTGATACGTCAAGTTACTGATCCGAAGAACATAACTGCCGTTGGGCATGAAACTAAAGAGGTATTTGTTCATCCCCATTTATTTTTTTTCCCAAAACAGAATAAATTTTTATTATTATTACTATTATATTTCTTTTTTCCAAACAATAATTTGCTTAGTATTATACTCCATCCCTTACAAAAAGATGAACATTCTAAAAATAATATTTGTTTCAAAAAATGTATTTTTTTATTTTCAATATATATTTAATGAAAAATTATAGTTTCAAAAAAATTAATTGTGTTTCTTAAAATTCTATTGGTCAAAATTTTATGTTTTTTTTATTATATGTGAAAAAGTTAAAAAATTTAACTTTTTGTAACGAGAGAGTATTCCTGATTTTTTATAAAAACAACTTTAATTTTTTGTCAACTTTAAAAAACATTAAACCACAAATTGTCAATTTTTGTTATAAAAAAACATTGTTGTTATGTTCTGTCCCAAAGAAGTTGACAAGTTTTTTTTTTACATTCCACAGAAAAACACTAGTCAGCAAAGAGACATAAACCCGGAACCGTTGACTTTGTCAGGATACGACATGTGTTACGAACAGGCATCAGTTCGTGTCGGTAAACTCGAACCGACTAAACCTTTTGGGTCCGGGTCAAAGCGGGAGAAGTCTTCACGGGTCAAGAAAGCGTCGCGGGTTGACCCGTTAATTGGAATATCAATCATAATGCTAACGCTAGTGATCATGTTGATGTGGGGACGTTTGTGTGCGATTCTTTGTACGTGTACTTGGTGTTACTTTCTNCATCAGTTCGTGTCGGTAAACTCGAACCGACTAAACCTTTTGGGTCCGGGTCAAAGCGGGAGAAGTCTTCACGGGTCAAGAAAGCGTCGCGGGTTGACCCGTTAATTGGAATATCAATCATAATGCTAACGCTAGTGATCATGTTGATGTGGGGACGTTTGTGTGCGATTCTTTGTACGTGTACTTGGTGTTACTTTCTACCTCGTCTCAAACGCAAACGCAATGGTGGCGGTAAAACTGAACGCAAAGATGATTTGGATTTGAACTCACCAGCTTATAAGAAAAAAATCGTTTTGGAAGGATTTCTGATACGACAGCAACGTCGTGTTTAGCTGTGATCATCTTTCAATATCTTTTCTAATTTTTGTTAATTTGATATTAATTGAATTCCCCTAGATACAATCTCCAATTATTCATTGATTGTTATTATTTTATTTTTTTGAATTGAATGTTAAATTTAATTTAAAAAGTTTTTTACATCCATGTGTAACCTGACAAAAGAATTAACTCATGAACAATGTTATTCTTTTTATACACTCTGCCTTGTTGAAAACCAGTAGACCAACCCTCCTTCATAACTTTTATCTCCCTTCTTTTGTATAATAGTGAACTTGTTCCTCACTGTCTTGTCAAGGAATTTAACTAAAAAAGTTGAAGGCCAAGGCTTCTAACCATGTCTTCTCCTGTTCATTTCCCTCCAAAGGCTATTATTAATTGTCGCCTGGAAACTGTATCTACTTGAGAAGAGCTGCAGCTTGTTCAGAGTATTATCCTTTATCAGACATATTAGACTTAACCAATCTGCAATGTACTGATTTCCTAATACCTTCTTAGTCAAGGCTTCCCAAACTTTTTCTGAAAACGGACAGATAAAAAATGGTGTCTTACTGATTCCAATGGTTCTTGACATAGAACACATGATGTGTCTACAGCCTCCCTCCACTTCTGCATACAATCATCAAATGAAAATCTGTCTCTTATTGCAAGCCATATTAAAAAATAAAACTTTGGTGTTGCATGTTTAAACCTAATCGCTTGATGCTAGTCATATATCTGGTGTTTCTCTCGAACCACTTTCCATGTCTCAATTGTAGAGAAGACCTTTTTATAATTATCTCCAGTCTTCCATAACAGTATATCATCCTCATGTGACATACTATTTTTAAATTTCTCAATCTCCACTTCAATTCTATTCAACACTAGAACTCTGTGATTTATTTTTCTATGATTTCTACACTTATCCACCATAGCATTCATAAAGATTACAAAGTCTATATTCCCTCCATTCCCTAAGATATCCTCTAAACAACCTAGAGAGACCAAGAATCATACTAGAATGAAGTTCTCTTCCCATTCTTCACTTATCTTCCTCCACATCCAAGAACCCATTTGTATGGTCTTTTTAACAGTCCATAAAGAGCCTTTCCTTATGAGATACATCTTCACCCAGTTAATCCACAGTGAGTGAGCTGAGAGGATCCTCCATATTAATTTCAGTACACTGACCAGGTTCATCTCCTTAAGAGATCGGAGACCTAGTCCTCCTTCTTGCTTTGTTCTGCATATCTCTGTCCAGGCTATTTTAGCTTTCCTTTTCTTTAACTCTGGTTCTGACCACAAAAATGCTGAGCAGAGCCGTTCAATTTCTTTTATACAAGCACTAGAGAGCCTAAAAGAAGCCATCTAGAATTTTACTAAGCTTGTGATTACTGATTTTATCAGTTGTAATCTCAGTCCATGTACCAATTTTTTTTCCTAATTTTCTCTATCAGAGGAAGAAAATCAGACACTGTCATACTCTTGGTCAATAACGGAAGTCCTTGTATCTCACCGGGAGTTTTCCTGCTGCAAATAGAAAATGATGGAAGACTTCTTCCTATTTATGAAGAGAAATACCTACCATAAACAGAGACGACTTCTCCAAACTTATTTTTAATCTTGACATTTTGTCGAAATTCTCAAAGACCTCCAATATCCCTTCTAGAGAATTCTTTGTTCCATCTGCAAATACCATCAGATCATTTGCAAAATAAAGATGAGTGAGATCAATGTTTTTACATCTGGGACGGTATATCCTATTAGTCCCCTATGCACATCTTCATCAATCATCTTGGATAACACATTCATGATGATAACAAACATGTATGGTGAAAGCGAGCAACCTTGCTTTAGCCCTCTTTTACTCTGAAAACAACCAGCCAACTCTCCATTCACCTGAACTGAAAATGGCACTGTGGTGATACACACTGATATCCAATGAATAAACTTCTCAGGAAACCCAGACACTTTCAATGTAAAAAAGAAGCTGGTAAGAGTTGAATCTACTAAGTTAAGTACCAAGGAAACAAGCTGACTGCCACTATACTAAAATAACTAAGTGCCATTTTTGTTAATTAATTTGAAAGGTCAATTGATGATTGTAAGATAACACATGGCAGTTAGCACAATAATCTACTATTACCAATTGACAAAATTTAGGATCATGTTTAAACCGGGGTTTTGAATCCGACGTGAATCGAACATTAATTATTACATACCATTACGATTAGTAGTATGATTAAGAAAGAAATGTCTATATAAAATTTAACTTTTTCAAAATACTATATACTATTAAAATCATGCTTAAATGTATACTAACAAAAGTCATTCATAAACATTGTAATAGTGTTTATTTCATCATAAACTAATTAAAATAAAATTGTTCTCTTAAAATCATGTTTAAATGTATATTAACAAAGTCATCTGATTGATTGTACATCTTATGTAGGCATCATTGGTTTAAACTAAATCATTTAGTGAAAAACAAATTAAATTAATATTTGACAATATATGAAAACAGAATTAGTGCAAACAAAACACAACTAAAACCCCTACCGCATCCCTCCAGAAACTGAGGGTTTGTGGAGGGTTGATAACCCACGGAACTTCGATAGGAACAAATGGACTCCCAGTTATGTTAGCACCGAGAGCAACATTGAAGGTGGAGACTTGTTAGGAATCATCAGATTTTGCGCCTTGAGCCAACTTTCACGTTTGTACATTATTTCTTTACATAGGTTTAAAGAAGTTCATCCTTATCTTTTTGGTATCCATGGATTTTTCTAATCAAGAACTGTTGTTTGTGTTAAAAATTATCGTCTGCTCTCCAAAAAGAAATAAAAATTTGTTTTTCTCTATTAAAAACTCGATATTGGAAGTTTTAGTGAATAAGAAAAGAGAAATATTTCGGAAAGAAAAGAAAATTGATAATATGATTATTGAGTGAATTTATTTGTTTGGATTTGACTTTCACCTAAAATGATTTTTTTTTTCAAAAATCTAGTTTTGTTATATATATATATATATATATATATATATATATATATATACTAGCACAATCTCAAAAATTTCTATAAATTTTTGAATTTGTATTCAGTTCATGATGAAATATGCATTGTTCAATTTTAAATAGGTTTTTCTCCCCCATATGATTGACTCATAAATCATGCATGCACACACATTTCAGTAGGCAGTGTCTAGTAATGCTAATGTCAATAGGCACAAACATTTGAATTCTTAACTTTATTAATTGTTGAAAATGTAATACAACCGAGGATTAATCCTTTGGTTACAGGATCAGTTGATGAATTTGAAAAAGTATGTTAATTACAAAGCCTCCTATTTGATTAGTTTAGTAATAAAACATCTTCTAGCCTAAGATAGAAACACTTGGCTTCAGTGATGAGGCATCATTAATTTACTTCCTGTCCCAAACGAATCTCAACAATGAAGGTAATCCCTTAGGTATTGATTGTCAGTGATGACAAAGCTAACCTCCGAATTTTCGAAACTCGTTTGATGAGAGGAGATGACAGATAACATCACTGAACCCCAACAAATCTCAGAATCTCAACACCTGAAAGAAAAGAACAAAAACCAAATAAAAATAATTAAATAGAATCTTCCATTTTTCTTTATTATAATGTTTTATATCTTAAGCTATTGGTCATCGATACATACATATTTTAAAAAATTGTGAACATTACTATTGATTTTTTTTTCCATTTGAGAACGAAAAGCAAACATCCTAAGATTAACCCAGCATTGTCAATATATTCCTTGAAGCCTTTTCCTTTCTTCTTTTGAGTGGCTATCAGCTAGTTTACTTCTGCAAACAACAAACCATTCTACAAATATTATCTTCAATAATCTAGTAACCTAAGCAATAAGATATTGGAGGCAGAGATGTGTGTATCCATAAATCTTTGTCACGTATAAAGTCAAGAAGCTTAATAACTTTGTCATGTATTAAGTCAAATCAGGTTCAATGACAGTGGACGTATGAAGAAAGTGGACGTATGAAGAAAGGAAGCCTAAAGTTTCAATGGTAGACTCAATAGTAGACTCATCATTCTATTTGTCATTTCATGCCTTCTTGGGAAGATTATCGCAAAAGATTGCAAGTAGTTCTGCAATTGAGCTTCCACCCACTGCCTTGTTACAGAAGATTACAAAAGCTTCTTTGAACGCCTTGTGGAAGAGAGAGAGAGAGAGAAATAGTTTATGAAACCAGTCCGTGACATAGACCATGTATTTATCGCTGCTCCTCCAAGCTACCACCACTAGTAAATGCGTCATTGGGATAAGAACATTCCCTTGTGCAGTGTTAACTGATTTACAACAGTTAAATTGTTTTCTAGAACATTGATCAAAAGCATAGGGAACATCATTAAATTTTCACATAAGAAAATCATCTCAGATTGTGATTTCTGAATCTAAACAACAATCTAAACTTTATACTTAGTTCAAAGGCTGTGCATTAAACAAAACAAGTTCATCTACATTATTAAAATAGATGTGCAAATAAGAATTACTTTTTAAAATTTACAACTTATTTACAATAGAATACCACAGAGATATTTATTGAATTTATATTTAGGTATGATGTTTCTTTTACAGTTTAATAAATACCACACAAAGTAATAAATAATCTACTTTTTAAGATTTTTTTTTATCTTTTTCTATTTAATGAATGCATTTTCCTAAATCTAATTTAAAACTAAATTATCATGGAAGCAAATATATAAGAAAACCAATTTATCATTGCTATCATAATGATACTAAATATTCAGCCTACTATCATTGATGTACCTAATTGTAATAGAGATTTTTTGACACAAACCACAAAAATTTATGTTTTTATAATTAATATATTCATACTTATATATTAACTTCGCTATTTTGTACCCCAATCGTTTTTGTAGTCTTTCTAACAAACAAATCAAAAATATAAAATTTCAAACCATAAATTCACAGATCAAAAACAAAATAAACTTATTCAATATAAAATTAT